GTAATGTATTGTGCTACAACATGTAACAATGAGTATGATATGTGCGGTCGTTAGTAATTAATTTGCCCCTTTTTTAGTTTTTTATACAAGCGATATTTGAAGAGGGAATACAAGAGCTCGTTTCAACCAAGTTCAAACACAAGGCAACCAAGTGAAGCAAATTGCTTTCAAAAGCAGTGGGCTACAGCAATAGCCTATCCCATCTCCCTTGGCTGTTGCAGTTGAAGAATCGTAACTTACAGAAGTCAAATACTTGGAAACTGATTTCTCTCCAACCAAGATCAATAAAAGATCTCTTTATCGACTTTTGGGGGAAAAACTAAAACATTTAAAAATTAAATCAAATCAACTTTTGGGGGAAAGGAGGGATGTTAATTGATCTGAATCGCTTTCCTAATTCTCCTATTAAAGTTTTCTGATATTTATTTTAACATACTCAAAGTCGAACTAAATCACTGAAGAATCAGGATAATTTTGGCTACTAAGGTCAAAGATAAGTTGACTTGGTATATTGTAAAACAATAAAAAAGAAATCAGCAGGTTTATAAAGAAAATTATTTCCATATCCGAATATATTTTTTGTGACTTCAATTAAATTCCTAATTGTCAATAGCATATATATTTATTAGGAAAAAAAATAGCGTAATTTAAAGAGAAGCCTCGGTAACATTCAAGGCCTATGGAGTCATACAATAAAACATTTTTAGCTTGTTGAAGAATACAACCATTCCAAATATCAAAATTCTCCCAATGATGGTCAATAAAAGTAATGGCATCTGCAATATAATTAGCTTATCTAAAGATGTGATTTCATTCCACCGAGTCGAAAACACCAGCTAACCATTTGATGTTCTCAACGATAGATACATTTCTTTAGGGGACAACACATTTTCCCGAGACGGCCTCAACGACAATCTTCAAGTCACCCTCTACAATGGCAAAGTTCAAAGCGCCTCGACGAGCCATTGCTTCTGCGGCGGTGACAGTGTTCTAGCCATGGTGGCAGGATCCCGTAGCAGAAGGATTCCCTTAGGATTTCTGATGATGAAGCCCCGAGCAGCAGAGTGCCCATCCACCGATCCATCAAAGTTGAGCTTGAAAAAACCCGCAGCAGGAGCCTTCTACTTAATAGGTTATCCAGTGATTTTTTGTAGCTTTCTCTTCGGCAACAATGGCTGCCACAATAAGAACGGGAAGAATGAGGTTTAGCCTGTCTAAGCACGGAACTGTTTCGATCATTCTACATTTACCAGCAAAAAGAAGGATCTTGCTAAGATCAGAAGCTCATCTTTATCAATGTAAGAAACATTGTTTAACCAAACATTGATGTTACCAATAGAAGAAGGCGGAGAGATATTGCTGCATAATTTCCGAACTTCCTAAGCATGAGTGCAATAAACAAAGCGATGTAATTGGTCTTCATCAGCATTTCTACACAAGGCACAAATAATTTGCCCATTAGAATTGTGCTTACCAAGTCTTAATATTTGTGGAAAGTCTCTCTCTTACAACCAACTAAAATATTTAATGTTACGTGGAATATTGAGTTTCCACACATTATTTAGCGAAGTTTTAAAAGCGACACTACAATGATCATTATTTTGGTTTCAAGTGGCTGATTTAACCGAAAAAGTTCCATTTGGAAAGGGTTCCCAAATGAAATCATCGTCCATATCATTTAACGGTAAAGGAATTTCAAGAATTTTATCTGCAACATCGCTAGGGACTAACTGAAGTATTAACCCCTTGATCCGAGTTTTATCCAATATTACATCACAAACTTTAAGATTCAAATTCAAAGAGTCTCTTACTTGATCTTGAATAAATTGGATAGAGGGCAAGAAAAACTCAATTATGAGACCAAAACAAAATGTTTCGACCATTTCCTACTATCCATCTCATCCCCTTTTGAATTATAGGCTTAGCAACTAAAACACCTTTCCAAGCAGCAAAATGACTTCATTTATATTTAGCACTCCAAAAAGTTTCATTCCTTGAGTATTTTGCTTTCACTATTTTGACCCACCAATTTTCTTTGTAAGTAATGATTTTCCAGGCAAGTTTAGCTATAAATCAAGATTAAAATTCTCAGCCCTTCTGATCCCGAGGCCCCTAAAGACTTGGAAGACAAGTATCATTCTAAGCCACAAGGGAAAAATTCGACTTGTTGTTCCAAAGGAACTTCCTGCTCTCTCTGTTAATAGCTTGTGTTAGTTTTGGGGGCATTTGAAGCAGGCCATAGTGTGATTTAGCATTCCAGCTAGACTTGATTTAATGAAGGTAAGTCTACCGGCTCTAGAAAGAGTGTTGACTTTTCAACCAGCTAATTTCTATTGAAATGCATTTGGTTTTATTATTATTTTTTTAATGAAAACATGACATATATTAAATAGTATGACCACAGTTACACTCAATTCTAATATAATCAAATAAGTAGGCTTTTTTAGCTACCATAGGTAACGCTCTATTCCAAACGTGGAGCTCAATATTGAAAATCAGCACTAGTAATCGCGTTAACCACAAAGTTTGCTTCTCTATAAACATGAGATCAAGAAATGGTACCCTAACTATCATGATAATCTACTGTTTTCTATTGGAACTGTTTTCTTTGTTTAAAAGATAACTTCCATTCGTCATATAAGTATAAGTGGGAGTAAGATTCTCTTTTCTGCTAATTTTTCTCTCATTTCATCTCCTCCTATTTGAACTGTTACAATTAAACTACGTCAAATTGTGTTGAATTCTTTATAGAGAACTAAAGACAAAATAAAAAAAATGTGAGAGAATGGAATAGAAAGGAGTAGGGGAGAAAATTCTCGTCTAAGCACCAAGGTAAGACATAGTATAAATCATTCGCCAAAAGAAAAAAGAAAAAAGAAAAAAAAAAAAAAAAAAAATATATATATATATATATATATATATAAGTAAGAACTGGTTGTCCTCGAAGGAAGGGGATCCTTTCTAGATTTTTTCCACAAAGTTCACTCATCCGGACTATTTAAATTTGGTCCAATAGTTATAAATAAGGATATTTTTAAAAATTATAATAATTTTAATCGTTAAATCAACATTTAATGATCCGAATGAATGAATTTGATGAAAAAAATTTGAAGAAGATCCCTTTCCATCCTCAAACGACTACAAACCTTTTCATCCTTGGTAGTACTAATAGGCATGTGACACCTGTCTTGGGGTTGGTTGGCCTCTTGGGGTTTTATTTGTTTAAGTTTATTTTGGGATATTTTTATTATTTCTATATATTGACCAGTGATAATAGTATCATAATTAAAAAGTTTCTCATCATTGCAGATTTGATTAGCTCAACGTCCCAAAAATCCCATTTCCTATAGGCTTTTTTAGCCACCATAGGTAACGCTTTATTCCAAACGTGGAGCTCAATTTTGAAAATCAGCACTACTAAAAGTGTTTATAACAAAGTTTGCTTTTCTATAAATAGGAGATCAAGAAATGCTACTTTAACTATCATGGTAATCTACTGTTTTTTAGTGGAATTATTTTCTTTGTTTAAAAGATAACTTTCATTCATCATATAAGAGAGGATTGTATAAGTGAGAGTAAGATTTTTTTCTTTGCTAATTTCTTTCTCATTTCTTTTTTTCTATTTGAACCGTTACAATTAAATTACGTTAATTTGTGTTGAATTATTTATAAAGAACTAAAGAAAAAATATAAAATACGAGAGAAGTCAATAGGAAGGAACAGGGAGAAATTCCGCACTAGGATAAGACATGGTATGAATCATTCACCAAAAGAAAAAAAAATATATATATATAAGTATGTACCGGTTGTCCTCTACAAACCTTTTCATCCTTGGTAATACTAATAGGCATGTGACACCTGTCTTGGTTGGTTGGCCTCTTATGAGGTTTTATTTGTTTAATTTTATCTTGGGATATTTTTATTATTTTTATATATTGACCAAGTGAGTAGAGTATCATAATTAAAATGTTCCTCATCATTGCAGATTTGATTAGCTCAACTTCCCAAAAATCCCATTTCCTATATATAGTATTTCCGCTTATTTTTATTTTTCACATGCTTTTGATTAAATTTTTAATTTTGATTTTTTTTAATTTATTTAATTCAACGTTAAAAAATTAAGATAGATGTTTGATAAATACAAAATGTATGTGAATAGCACAACCTCTATATATTTCCATTAAATGAGCATTATTAAGGAAGTAAACCCATAATCTTTTTACAAACAAAAACGATTACAAATTAAGAAAAAATGCAATCAATTTGAGAAGCTCAAGGTGAAAATATCAATTATTTCTTATACAATTTTTTTTAGCTAAATGATTTTTTTTTAAAAACTAGTTTAAACACATCATTTTCTCCATATCCCATACTTATATTTGACAACTAAATTGAAAAAGTAATATACAAAAACATACTGATTACGCAAACGGAGAAAAAAGAAGGGTAGAAATCATTTTTTATTTTTATTTTTATCCTTTTTACCATAAAAAACATTTTGACCTATCTTAATACAATCCCTAATTCCCCGTATGCAATTTCTTCTTGAGAAAGGTAAGCCCAAATCATGACATAATATGCTACCAAATTTAGACCCACCAATTAACACACAACCAAAAACTATATAATAAAACCACTTCTACATTTTAAATACCTTTACACCGTCCTAATGTCAGTGGGCCCCATTCCGAAGCTTCTTTTGATTTGATTGGTTCTTAATCCTTCTAAAACCTTCAAATTTCGAGAGATTTTTCAATATGATCGGCACACGAGGTGGTACATCATGTGTTATTATACGAATTATGGGATATATGTGTTAAAAAGTTAATAACTTGAAAAATAAAAATTTTCACTATTACATAAAAACATGTAATATACTACCTGTGTTCCCGTCATAATAAAAAATTTCAAATAAATTTCAACCATTTCCCACACATTCCTTTATTATGTTTCAAAAAAGTCAGTGGCATTTTAAATGCCATTTCTGGAATTCCGGTGCTTTTAATACAACGCAACCACCTCATCGTCCTCTCAAGTTCTCAACCTTCTCCCTCCATCCTTCAATTTTTTCTCGTTTTTTCTCACTTTCTATCACTTTCTCACCAGCCAAACAGACAGTCACCACAGAACCAAATTCGAATTCAAATAAAAAATCGGATAAAACTCATTTCGTGAAGCGCCTCGAAGAACAAAACCCACCTTTGTTTTTCGCCATTAGAGTTGAAAAAATGAAGCCCCCGAAGCTGATTGTGTTACTGTTATGTTGCCTTGGTGTTCTCATGGTTGCAAATTCTGATCTGGCTTCCGACAGAGATGCCTTGCTGGCGCTCAGAACAGCCGTGGGAGGCCGTACAATGGGCTGGAACTTGACGGAGACCAACCCCTGTTCGTGGCTCGGCGTCAAATGCGAGTCGGACCGGGTCACCGAATTGCGGCTTCCAGGTTGGGCACTGGTTGGGCAGCTTCCTTTGGGTCTCGGAAACTTAACCCAGCTTTTGACCCTCTCTCTGCGCGTAAACGCGCTCTCCGGTCCGCTACCGAACGACCTTGTCAACCTAGTCAACCTCAAAAATCTCTACTTGCAAGGTAATTCATTTTCCGGTCCAATTCCTGAGTTTTTGTTCAAACTGAAAAGCCTTATGAGATTGAACCTTGAGAAAAATAAGTTCTCCGGCGAAATCTCGTCGGCGTTTAATAATTTGACGAGTTTGGTAAGTCTGCATTTGGAGGAGAATCAGCTTACTGGGTCAATTCCTGAGCTGGGTTTACCGTCTCTTGGACATTTCAACGTTTCCTTTAATCAGTTGAACGGGTCGGTTCCTTCGAAGCTTTCGGATTGGCCCGAAAACGCGTTCGAGGGGAATTTGCTTTGTGGGAAGCCGTTGAAGGCCTGCAATGGGACTGAGAATGCTGGGAAGAAGAATAAGTTGGCTGGTGGGGCAATTGCAGGGATTGTGATTGGTAGTATTATTGGGTTCTTGGCGATAGTTGCCATTGTGATATTTTTGTGCCGACGAAAGAAAAATGGGGAAAAAGGTACAAACTTTGCTGTGCCGGGGAAGCCTCAGGAGGCTGAAACCTCCCGTGGAAAGGTGGTGCTGGATAGGAGTTCGAGTACTGATTATTCATCTGCATCAAAAGGGAGTGTGAAGAGTGGTGGTGGGAATAAGAGTTTAGTGTTCTTCGGGCATGTGGTGAAGGTGTTTGATTTGGAGGATTTATTGAGGGCATCAGCTGAGGTACTTGGAAAGGGGACATTTGGAACTACGTACAAGGCAACTTTGGAAATGGGGGTGTCAGTGGCAGTGAAGAGGTTGAAGGAAGTGGCTGTATCAGAGAAGGAATTCAGGGAGAAGATTGAAGAGATTGGAAGAATGGATCATTCAAATTTGGTCCCACTCAGGGCTTACTACTACAGCAGGGATGAGAAGCTTTTTGTGTATGATTACATGCCTATGGGAAGCTTATCTGCTCTTTTGCACGGTGAGCATTTCATGCTAGGGTTTCATTCGTTGCATTATATAATGCAGCTATTGTCTGAGTTGGTGTTTTCGCGTTTCTTTTTCTTGAAATGGTTTTCTGTTGGTATATTATGTTTATCGTTTTTTTTCTTAACTGTGTTTCTCCATTGGATGGTTTTTTTGGTACATTTTCTATGTCAACTGCATCGTCTTTTTGTTGCCCCAAACATGCATGTCTAAAATGAACTCTTCAATTAGTAATTATAGACTAGTGTTGTGGAAGCCTTTTGTTTATCACGGCTTGCTATACATTTATATACCAAACAGACAAATCAATACGTATTTAAAAGACAAGGAATAAATAATAAAATCATACTGAATCCCGTCCGAGAACAACTAGGATTGTGAGCCATCGCAGCTATTTCTTTTACATCAAAGAAGCAAAATGCGAGTTCCTAAGAAAGTATTAAGCAATATAGGCATAGGAAGGATGTCATTACTTGATTACTGGTCTCTTGTATTGGCTAGGAGAGTGGCATTTGGTCCAAATGCTAGCAGCACTTGCATAAACCAGGTGCAAAAAAATGCTGTAAGCTTCTGAGCTTTGGCGTCTCTGACCATGTCTGTATCTTTTATTTTTGAATTTAGTATTCTTTCACAATAAATCACATTGTATGAGTCAATGATTAAGTTTTTATTTGTTCTCTTTGTTAACCATCTTTCTGTTAACAGTTCATTTCTTTATCTTTTCACTGCAGGAACCAGAGGTTCCGGAAGGACTCCATTGAATTGGGAAACAAGGTCTGGTATTGCTGTAGGAGCTGCTCGTGCAATTACATACTTACATTCTCATGGTCCCACTACCTCCCATGGAAACATTAAATCTTCAAACATCCTTCTCACTAGATCCTATGAAGCCTGTGTTTCTGATTTTTGCCTTGCTCATCTTGCAAGCCCAACATCTACTCCGAACCGCATTTCTGGTTATCGTGCCCCAGAACTCACAGATACTAGCAAAGTAACCCAAAAGGCAGATGTTTATAGCTTTGGCGTATTGCTTTTGGAGATACTTACAGGAAAGTCTCCAACCCAAATTATCATGAACGAGGAAGGAGTAGACCTTCCAAGATGGGTTCACTCAGTGGTTCGAGAGGAGTGGACTGCTGAGGTGTTTGACTTCGAGCTTCTTAGGTACCAGAATGTTGAGGAGGAGATGGTTCAGCTTTTACAGATTGCACTCGAATGTACTGTTCAGTACCCTGATAGCCGCCCTTCAATGGGTGAGGTGACTAGCCGAATCGATGAGCTTTACAGTTCTAGTTTAAAGCACGAGCAAGATGCGAATCCTGATATCTCATGACGTGGACGATGGCTTTCTCAGCAGGATTTATCAACTGACACGCGCATATCACCGTGAGTACTGAACAAAGATCAGCATTCTTTCCTGCATTGCCCTTCTGGTCAGGCATAATTTGTTTAATCTTGAGTTTATTTTGAGCAAATCTTACAGCCGGGATCATGTCTCTTTATCGTTTTCACCTTCATATTTATTTTATCAGTAGCAATCTTCTTTACCCCCTGTATATTACTGTTTATGCTGTATGTGGAGGGGGATGTCTGTAATGCTGTTATTTGCAAATCTGAGTTTGCCTTGTAGTGTAGTGCTCTCATCACTTCTGTTCCTCTTAGCCCTGAGCTCGATGCAAATTTTATTGACTGAAAAATGCTTCATTTGCTTTTATTTGTCTTTAATCTCAGCTAAATCAAGCACTCTCTCTTTGCTTGGAGAATAATCTTATTAGATGGTTTTGAGTACTTTTGGTGGTTTGAGGGTTCTCTTCTTCTCTGGGATCCCATGGTTGTGTTAATTATACTAGAGTAAGTATTCAGGCGGTTCAAAAGCATATATAATTAGTTATTGAGGAAATTGTAGTAATGATCCTTTAATTTTAACTTAATTGGAACAATGGTTCCTCAACTAAAAATTCATGACCATTAGTTCCTTAACTCATCAAAACTTGTAAGTATGGTCATTTTCGTCAATTCTGTTACAACTTCTGTTAAAATGAGTCACGTGCCACTTACGTGAGGCTGCATCAAGGGGCAAATATATGAAAAACCAAATTAGAAAAACTGTAGCAATGGTCCCTCAACATTAATTCACATGGAGCAATGATCTTTCAACTTTAACCTAATCAGAGCAATGATCTCTCAACTTTAACTCAATCATAGTTTTGTCATTCTAACATGACTCATTTTGATTGAATTCTGATGTGGTTAACGAAAATGATCATGTCTACACGTTTTGATGAGTTAAGCGATCGCTGATCAGGAATTTTTAATTAAGAGATCATTGCTTTAATTAAGTTAAAATTGATGGACCATTTTTACAAATTTATCATACAATTAGACAGCTGACGATGATAGGTGCATGTTTTTAAAAATTTCCTCAACTAAAAATACATTAATATATTTGCATTAACGGGTGGCAGGAAACAAATTAGTATGGAAGACAACCTTCACGAAATCTTTCGTGACGAGAATTACCTCGGATTCGGGAAGGGAGACCAAGATTGATCCTGACTTCTTTGGATGAGATGTAGTCCATGATGGAACATAATTTAAAGTATTTATGATGAAGATGAAGATGAAGATGTAGACTATGGGCATTACTATCCCATCAGGTTACCGCGCCACCGTTTCATCTTTAACACGAAATGAGTGTTCAATGCCCATCCTTATCTATCGTGTGTGACTTTGCGTGCATTTATAAAAGAGAAAATATAAAATTTAATTGCAAATTTTAATTTTTTTAGTTGTTTTAATTTTTTGAAAATTTTATTAAGATGTTATGACTTGAGCCACCTCGGTTTAATTGAGTTTGATTTACATTTCAATATCTAATATATATTTTAAATAATTTCAACTGTATTTAAATCTAATATTTATTTTATTTTTTCAAATCAAAACGTACCCATGCAAACAAATGTGACAGTGAAAATTGAAAATGAAAATGTATCAATGTCAAAGGAAAACATACCAACTCCGAATGTACCGTACTAACATAGAATTGAAACGTACCCAATTATGAAACTAAATTAAAAATGAATATTTCATCATTTTGGAATAATTTAAGAATATGTTTGATCTATAGAAAATGCACTAGATAATATTGTTTTCTAGTAAATAAGTTTGGAACAACTTTTAATTAAAGGGAACTTTAACGAAAAGCTTCTTGTACAGTTCATTTTAACGAAAACCCATATTTTTGCACTAAAAGGTCAATCCTGTTACTATTTACTTTACCCTTTATTTTGTCGTTAGTGTTAAAACTCAAAGTTTTCAAATCATTTTTATTAGTTTTCCTTTAATTAAATTGATGATACTTTTTTTTTTTTTCAATTATGAGGATAAATTATATAATTTTGAATTAACCAAAAAACTATTGGACGTTGATTGGTATAAAAATGTTAAATCAAAAACTTCAAAATAAATATTTAATCTAGAAAATTCAAAACTCAAGTCTCTGGATAAATGATGGGGTGATAGAATTATGCAAAGAACCAGTTGAGAACTTGAGAGACGAAGAGGGAGGGTTAAAAAAAAAAAAAAAAAAAAACAGGGGAACAGCGGTCGGTCATCCCAAAAGGGAAGCTAAAAAACAGACAGAGATTGATAAAAAGAAAGGGATCAGCAGTGGGCCCAAGTTTCCTCCTTGTTGGTTTCCTCTGCTGCCCTTTTCCTCCTCTTATCTCACCAAAACCTCATTTGTTTTCGAAAAATGGGTTTACTGGATTCCTTCCTCAATTGGCTCCGCAGGTAACCCCTTCTTCTTCTTCTTCTTCTTCTTCTTCTTCTTCTTTTGTGTTGCTTGTTTCGTTAATTTGTTTGTTGAGTTTTTGGATTTGTTTGTATTGGAATGTGTGTTCTAGTTCACTGATTTATGTGATCAACTTTGTATTTTCAAGATTTGAGGTTCAAAAAGTTGGTTAATTTGAGAACTTCATATGTTTTGCCAAGTTGCTAACAATCAATAAATAGTAAAATCGAAACCCGAAAGTGATTGCTTCATTGGGGGCTTTTTGGTTGAATCTGTGTATTGCACTGAGCTATGTTCAATTTCAGTATGCTTTCATTTCACTCTCAAATTAGGTTGCTTTTTGGCTTTGTGAATCCTATGGTTCAAGCACTGAGTAGTTAAATAATGAGAATTAAGACGATTTTCTTACGGTGTAATTTGCTGCTGAAAAGATATATGGACCCAGAAAAGTTTAGGAATTTGATCTGCCAAAATTGCAACTTTGTGGCTGTTTTTCTGATTGAGGCTATCTTCATTGTTAAAACCATACTGGCAACACCTGAAAAGGTGAATTTCAATCTCCCGAGACTAAAATCCATGCGATTGCAAAAAGATATTATTGGTGGGAGAGATATCGTGTTGATACCGTTATAGTTTTCATTTTACTCCTCCCTCCCTAAATTTCCAAGGGGAAAAGAACATGGTTCAATATATGTTTGAAGTAGCTTTATTGTTACTGGAAGCTAAAGAAACCCTTATCGGAGCCTTCTGCAGCGTACCTACAGAACCAAAAGACCAATTATGCTCTTTTTTAAGATAAGCAAACTGTTATCTTAAGATAAGCAAACTGTTGTCTGTGCGCCAGTATGAATTTTGAAGTTTTAATTGCATTACTTCATAAAGATTGGAAACATGCAGTTATCTGTTTTAGGGAATTAAGTTGAGAGAAAAAAATCTCTTCCACTCTTTATGTTTGTCAATGGATTTTGCTCCTTTGCTTTATGAGTTAGGTACTTCATCATATGTCATTAAGTTCCACTACTATGGGTAGATTTCTGAGCTTCACGAGGTTAGACAATCACTAAGTCTAATCTACTTCTCATTTCTTTTCATATCCGTAATGGGATGCAAAACAATGATAGGGAACGCTAATTTATTCAAAACACCAAGTTTGAAAGTAAAATTATAGCAGATAAATGTTACAATCCTGGAGTTGGGGGCCAGGGTCAAGGCCAAGGCCAAGTCATGATGGCTGTTCTGCCCATGTGAAAGCAAGGCTGGACACCGCCAAGTGAAGCAACGTATAAGTGGGAATTCAAGTTTCTAGGAGGGGCAGCACACATGCATTGCTCTGAGAAGTGCCAGCAAGCTGTGGCATAGCATAAACGCAGGGTCCAAAGAGCAGGACCAATTTGAAAGGAATGTGTGGCAGATTGCAGTGGCATTTCAGTGTACAGCATGCTGCTGTATGAAGGGGTTGCAGCCTCATGTGGAAGGCAAGACCATGGATGGAGAAGGAAGCACATGATTGTGCGGTTGCTTCAGGTGCTTGCTATGTTAGTGTGGCATGGCATGGGCAGCTAGGCAGCAGTATTCAAGCCATTGCAAGGAGGCAGTTCAGTAGCAGACAAGGCATGGGCTGGGCATGTATTGGGTGTCACTTGGGCATGTACCATGCACAGCAATGTGCTTAGGGTGCGTAGCTTGCGTTTGGAAGGCTGCAATCCTGCAAAACCTGCCCTGGGTGAAGGCTACACAATGCGGTGGTGCTGGCTGCAAATGGGGACATATTTACATAGTGGTTCTTAAGAGGTGGCTACCTTATTTCGAGGACCGATCATGTGGATGATTGTTGCAGGAAGTAACTTCCATGAGATGCTGGCCAATCTCCAACAAGGTTGGTGCCAGCAACACCCTAGCTACTGGGGATGTCAATTGCAAGCCTTCTTGTTGAATTCTAATTGGTCCAGCTAACTCGGGCAGTTGGGGGTAGCAACTACATGAATTTTGGAGTCCTAAACCCCTTTTGGGGGGGAGGCTGCATGGCTAAAAAAAATCAGTCTCATTTGTGTTCTTTAGGTTGCTGTTTCATTCATTCTTTACCACAGTAAGGGAGCATTAGAGTGGCCAACTAGGGAGGCGTCCTACTGCCACCAAAGAGGTAAAAAGTCATAGAAAAAAATTAGCATATTAAGCAAGACAAGAGCAGTTCCCTCATTGGTTAGACACTTCAATGTAGTGCCTTGAGTCATATGTTCTTGAGGAACTCCTTTGAAATACTTATATGTAGTTTTCACAGTTTTGGTATCGAATTTTCTACACTTAAATGGGGTACGCATTGCATATATATACATATATATATATATATATATATATATTTATATATATACAGGTCTTAGGTCAGGGACAAATTTGAATCAACTTGTGGGTAAATGAATGAGATGTATAGTGAGAACTGAGGGCCCTCAGTAGAGCATGATCATGAGCACAGAGAAGACCCTACAGTTCTCTTAAAAACAGCTGAGCACTAAACTATTGGATTCGATATCGAAGTTCTAATGCACAATAAGGAAAAGAAAAGACAAAAAGAAGTATATAATCTTAACATGCAAGTTCAAAAGTTCGTACGAAAACTTTGGAACTTGTAATTCATGTTATCTTAAAATCTTTTTTAAATCAAATCCATAGAATGCTAAAACAAGCAAGTTTCAGAAGGAAACTTAAAATTTTAAAATTCCCAATTTATCAGAATCCTGACACAAATAAAAGAATGCTCATCTGATCCAGATTAGTATGAAAACTTTCTTTTTGGTTTCATTTTCTAAACTATTCGAATGGATTTGAAACTGAAAATCTTAGCTAACAATTCCGGGCTTGTTTTGTCAAGATATGGAGCAATTTGGACTGATCTTTCTCTCTAATGTTGTTTCGTGATATCGAACACTCGAGTTTGTATACTTCTGTTCTAGGAAGAGGTAGTAGCTGTTGTCAAGTAGTGTTTAGTGAAATAAGTCGTCCTTGAAACATGAGCAAAGTACGAATAGTTAACCAAATGGGAAGTCCCTAGAATTCCTAGATGATGACTTTGAAGCAGACTGATCTAAGTTCCATCTCTTTAGCTCGAACCTATTGATCCATATGTCTAAACTATCTTTGTCCCTTAAGTCTTTAGTTCCTTCTAAACCATCCCAACTGCTCGTCTGAAAACGTCTATAATTTCTGTACAGTCTCTAGCGACAGAGACTTATCTCTTTTCTTAGCTGAACATCATCTATATTACAAATACATAGTACAAGGATACAATGGTCTCTACCTTGGAGTCATGGACTTGTTTTACAATTGAACTTCCTTGCAGGAAAAATGTTAAATGTGTAGTAATACTTTTGGATATGATATGGATGCATTCATGCTAGTAGAAGCTGGATATTCTACCTTTCATGCCTTGTTCAAGTGTATCCAAGCTTTACACAGACTTGAGTGTAGTTCTGTTATTGTCAGTGTTAGCTATCACTTGATTGTTTGACCAAAGTTGCTGACATTACTGATTATCAGGTCATGTGTATGCATGCACGTTCAGTTTTTTAATCCATTTGCACATTGCGATTCTTTGGTTGAAGCATGTAATTTTTCTGTAACCTACTTCGAATACTTGCATGATTGAACATTTAATAGCTGTAACGTGTGAGAACTATTGGCTTCTATACTTTCACATTTTCTTAAATTGTTTGCAGTGAGTCTTATTGGGGTTCGCCTTTCTGTTATTACGAAACTGTTTCAAATTGAAAGGTTCCTGGATTTATCCGTTATCAGTTTGCTAACTTTGTGTCATCTGACTGTGTGCGTACGTGTCAGCTTATTTTTTAAACAGGAAATGGAACTTTCACTAGTAGGGCTTCAGAATGCAGGAAAGACATCTCTTTTGAATGCCATTGCTGTGAGTGAATGCAAGTGTTCCACGTCCTTTATAGCATGTATAATTTCTTTCCCTTCACATTAATGGTTCTATATTTTCTTTACCAGACAGGGGGCTACAGTGAGGACATGATTCCAACTGTAAGCATATCTCTTTAACAAACTATGGAATTAAGCTGACATTTTATATGATCAAATAAATAAATAAGCGTATAACATGAAAGTACATACTTCTAGTACTTATGAGGAATATTCATTCTATGAAAACTAGGTCGGATTCAACATGCGAAAAGTAACCAAGGGAAATGTGACAATCAAGGTTTGGGACCTTGGAGGTCAAAGAAGGTTCCGCACAATGTGGGAGCGTTACTGTCGTGGCGTCTCTGTAATTGTGTAAGTCCTTCAGTCATTTACTATCTCCTGGTTTTTCTCGTTTTAGTATCACATCTCTTTTTTTGCCATCAATTGTTTTTAAGATGTTTCCGGCTTTTCAGGAACCAGCAAATACCTGCCACTGTGCAGGAACATTATATTTTGTTCCTGGAACTTAATCCTGAATCGAAATTGGATTCTTTCTGCTTTTGAAACATTTTATTCTTCTAAGAACCGTTACAGTTGACCTGGCAATCATATTATTTGAAAACGAAGATACTTCTCACTTCTATTCTTACATCTGGTATTATACAAAGTAGGCTATCTGTCACTCATTATTGTTCTCTTCAGCGACGTTAATTAATTTTTTTTCAACAATATTTGTTTCTTTTGAGATAACAATGTATGGTTCATCAGACAGCCCAGCTACTTCAAGACTTGTCATGTTAGTTTTAGTCTTTTCCGTACACTTAATAGTTATTTCATTTAGATGTTGGTATTCGTTCTCACACGTGACTGTAAGCCGAGGTTCCCTTTAAAAAATTTCTTTCATGATGGATGTTGTCACAGCTACGTAGTTGATGCTGCTGACAGAGACAATATTCCAATAGCTCGAAGTGAGCTGCACGACCTCTTAATGAAACCTTCCTTAAATGGGATTCCGTTACTTGTTCTTGGCAACAAAATCGACAAGTCTGAGGCTCTTTCCAAACAAGCATTGGTTGATCAACTGTGAGTACAGAATATTCTAGAAGTTTATACTTCACTCACCATTTCTCTTTTTTGCTGATATCTACTCCTAGAAATGTTGATGCTTTACATTGGGTGTTTTCAGAGGCCTTGATTCAATTACGGATAAAGAAGTGTGCTGCTATATGATCTCATGCAAGGACTCCATAAATATAGATGTTGTCATTGATTGGCTTATCAAACACTCCAAAACAGCAAAATGATCGATGCATGGCCCTTGCTTGGTGTTTGATCAAACATATTCCGAGTCGCAAATCAGGCGCTGAAAAGACGAGTTGATGAAAACAACCGTTTTGAGACTCTGTAACTATAGTAGGTAGCTATTCTCCAAATAGAGATCTGTACAATACTTCTGTAGTTGCGAAGTGTGATGCTTTGGTTATATTTCCCTTGTTCCTATGAAATTATTTCAATTTTCAAATGAAGGCTCCCAAATCTGAAGCACCTTTTTGGAACCAATTCTTACTAAGAATGCAAGCAAATTGTAAAGATCCACTTGAAGTGCTACAAGAAGCACATAACTAATGCATCTTACAGAAAGCACTTCATATGCTTTTTGAAACTCAAAATATTTTCTCTAAAAAAATTTTCAGTCATTTCGCAAGTGTGTTTCCAAACGAGTGCTTAATATTTTTCTATTATCACTCGTATTCTTACAGGCTTTGGGCCAGCCACATTGGTTGTACAACTTGTATTTCCTCTAAATTGAATTGATCCATCTACATCCTTAATCTTAGCATGAACAGTGTAACGAGAGGTTATTGGGTGGAGGGGTAATATACTATTTCTCCCTTAAAGCCAACTTGTAATATGCAATCTGCATGCCAAGAGGATCCTCTCCGGATCCTTTGGTGAAGATCCTAGAGATCTGTGAATTGTGTCTGTTCATCGTACATTATGCAGTCAGTTTTTATCAAGTACCGTTTGTATTTAATTTTAAATAAAAATATTTAAAATGATTTATAACCTTACAATGTACAATAAACAGATACGATTCACAGATCTCTGAAATCCTCGCAAAGAGGATCCGGATTCATCTGCATGGATAGATAAAATCATAAAGGACGCGACTTAATTGACTTGCATGCCGTTTGGGAGTTGATAACAAAATAAAGGACATGCATTGGGAAGTTTCCTTCACGACATTTTGATTTATCCAATCTGACAAATGTTGACTTACATTAGTTGCACTAAATGAGGTGAGTGAACATGCTATAATTAGAGGTGGCAAATTAATTCATTGAGTTGTTAATGAGTACCTGTTAAGAACCGGTTGATTTGATATCATCATAATATAGAGACGAGTTTTGGTAGTGATGATGATGATGTAAGGTAAAATCAAACTAAATGGATTTTAACGAGTATCCATTAACAATATAATGAGTTGATTTGCCACCTCTAATTATAAAAGATCTAATGAGTCATTGATATGCCTTTTGTCGACCACAAATAAGCCTTTTAGTTGTCTCAATTTTTGCAACTAACTGCTAAAGTTTTAAAGAGATGAGTCAAATGGTACAACACTTACCAGGTGTGGTGTTTTATCCCAATTAACTAACACTAAAAATAAAGATACTAAAATACATTAAACTAGGACAATTCAGAATCGTTTACAAAACAAATCGAGTCCAAATCCACCAAAAATGGACCCAGCTCGACTCGCGTTCACCCCTAGAAGTGACTACATTTGAGTGGGCAAGTGCAAATAGATTCATGATAATAGAGTCACGATTTTGATAGGCAGAACCAATTTTTATTGTCCGTCCATTTTTTATAAGAAAAAACCTTGCACACCACAAGTACATCATCTAACATTTTTATGAACTTACATGCGCATATCATGATTAGCTAGTGAGCCAAAAAACTAATTTTCTGATTTCTGATTATCTCATCTCTATCAAAATCAATGAATAAGGTTTGACGACCTCAGAATTATAGAAGAAAACAATTTTAACCGATGATCGAGTCCTAATGAGTGCTCTTGCTCACCTAATCCGCTTATGTTTATTATTCCTCATTCAGAAGTGGAACAAATGGGCTTTTCAGGGTTAAATCGAAATCACCAAACTAATTGGCAAGTGGCAAGCCCAAGTGAAATCGAAATTTCGGGGAAATCAAGTAGACATAAAAAACTTTCGTTGGTGATAAAAGATTAGAAGGTATAAGAAGACAAGATCGTGTCCCTGTCAAATACGAAATTACAGCCAACTTTAGTGCGAGGACTTGACTTACATGCAGCTTGGATTGAAAAACAATACAATCGATGAGCATTTAGAAGGTTCATGCACGAGTTCATTCATGTCTAGTGAGAACAGAACCTTTTGCACTTTTGACCAAAACCATATTCGCACTTCTCTGCTTTTAAGCTTCTAGCATTTAGCACCTTTTGCATTATTTCTTAGAAGGATGAAGTTACAAACAGCCCAAAACTCAAATATTAAATATATATGTATGTATGTATGTATGTATGTATAGATGGGCTAGGATCGGGACAGACACATTTTATTTCACTTTTTTGTGGTTTTCATTCCGAAACTTTTTTCAAGGATTTGAATTGTTTATAATTCCAACACCCCCCCCCCCCCCCCCCCCAATCATGTAGGTATCGCTGATTAGGCTGATTTTGGCATTAAAAATTTCAATTTTATAGTATTCCATGTCTTGCAGAATATTAGTAGAAGTGAGAATTCTAGAGAGAAAGAGAATGGCTGGAAGAAGGTGGCTATCATTGGTCGACGACATTGATGAAGAAGGTGGCGGCGGGTGAGCAGTTGAGATAGGTTGTTGGAAGGTTTTCTTTTGTTAAACTATTGTAAAAAGGTGAGGTGTGTCTTCAACAAATAAAAGGGCTAAAATTGGAATTTTAGAAAATAATTTTGAACTTGCTGTGTATTCATAAGATTGGAGGGGTGTTAATAGAAGCACCCATCCTGAAAACCTCCCCATTTAGACCTTTTTATTGTACTTTCTCATTTCTGATTTGGACCTTCTTATTTTTTTAATTGGATAATTTTTTATTATGATAATCTTTATAGGATGACAGAGAACATATATAATTCCGATATCACGCAACATTACATGATCATAAAAATATCAAAATGAGAAGTTACTAGCGACCCCAGAACAAATTTTTGTACAGGTTTCTCGTGTTTTTTTAATCCATAGTTTTATATATTTATATATATTAAATTATTTTTCCATGGTTATTATTTTTGCTTGATACATACGACTAATAATGAATCATCATACCGATAGTATTGTTTCTTGTGGTAGTGTAAATGTAAAAATTAGGATGACAAATACAAAAAGCATTTATTATTGTATAACACTTAGGGACTCACTAATGAATATTTACTCACCTTTTGATTTAGCTCAATAAAACGAGATTACATATTTTTCGTTTTTTAAAGCCCAATAAAAATTAATAACATGTTCATTATATTTTAAAACAATAAAATCTGTGCTAAAATCTCATTAGACAAAATTCAAAAGTAAGCACTCACTAATGAATACCCAAATACTATTCTTTATTATTAGGGTTCCATATTTTGAACTTCAAGACTTGCGGCGGTGTCGTTTTGTGTTCAACGGTGTGTTAGGGAATGGACTAATGGAGTGTCTCACGCTTCAAACGCAAGCAATGGAAGTTGATGGGGTGGAGCTTTCTGATTAGGATGCCCGCACATGTATGTTACGCCTTACATGTCAACACGTGTATACACAAAATCGGAACAAAAACTCTCCTTAGTTTTACCAAAGATAAAATGGGGAATCAAAATAACATGAATGGGAGCAAAATTGAGAGAGTAAATGTTATTTAGTGCACGTTAAGCTCAAAGACTTATTGATACACTCTTTAATACATACAAGGTTCGTTTATAATAGCTGAATTTGTACCAACGTTTAGATCAGTGTTGATGTTAGTTTGGTGTTTTTTAAAAATGAATTGAGTGAATACAGTAACAAAACTTCATCTCTACTTCGTTCTACAATTCCTAATTTAATATTACGAACACATAGTTACAGCATCACTGTAAACGCTTTTAACTATTTGATTTGCACTTTGCTTGCAATGAACTACAATGTTGAATAAGTTGAAAGAGGGTAAACAAATAAAATACGTACATCAACCAGCTAAGCCAAGCAAAAAAGTCCATCGAAGGGAAGTAGTCTTGGCCTTGGGGGTAATTTGAATTATTATTATATAATATTTATGAGATATGTGTATATATAGGTGGGTACTGGTACGAGTCTAACCTTGTTATCTGCATCACTTATCTCACAACTAGTTTATTGAGACCTTTAGCTAGCCAAGTTGAAGACTTGGACTACTATAGCTGATTGAGCTAGCTACTAATATTATAGCTTTGTGGGTGAGTTTGATTTTGGTGAGGATTAATCAATGGGAAGGAAACCTTGCTGTGACAAAGTTGGGTTGAAGAAGGGACCATGGATAGCTGAAGAGGACACGAAGCTCATTAACTTCATCCTTGCCAATGGCCAATGCTGCTGGAGAGCTGTTCCTAAGCTTGCAGGTCTCATATCATATCAACTATATACTTCATTTTTCTCACTCCATAGCCATTCTAGAGAGAGAGAGAGGGAAAGAGAGGGGGAGAGAGAGAGAGAGGGAAAGAGAGAGCTTCTGCAAATTTGAATGCTCTTTTATTCACTCTGTTTCTTTCCAGGAGATTGGTGGGAGAACATTTGTTTTTCGTTGATCATTTATATTTGAAAATTTTAACCAGTTTCTCTTTTGCTTTCACAAATGGGGTTTGTTTTAATTCATTGTTTCTCCTCTTGATCTTAGTTTTTTATTTTTCATTCTTCTTAAGAAAATGGTGGCTCAAAACTTTTTTGCTTTCGGTTTTGTGCTTCATTTTTTTAATCTGGGGAGGTAGTGAGCTTGATAAACCACCAAACTAAAATTCATGATTCCCCGAATTCATTTGCAATTTAAATGAAAAAGTGAAGAAAAAAATAGTGACCAATTCACTGATTATAGTTGTGGTGGGTTGGTCTGAACTGCAGGATTATTAAGGTGTGGAAAAAGTTGCAGGTTGAGATGGACCAACTATCTGAGGCCAGACTTGAAGAGAGGTCTTTTATCAGAATATGAAGAGAAAATGGTCATTGATCTTCATGCTGAACTTGGCAACAGGTTTGTGATTATTCATTTCAGGAAGTGCTTAATTTATCCAAAAGCAACTTTCAAGAGCTCTGCCACTGCTAAAGTTAATAACAGATAATGTTCTTTGTAATTTCTAGTAAAATATGAGTAATGTTATTCATATCATATTTTATACCACATTTCTATACCCTCTTAGGTGATATCTAATGTGGACATCCACATCATTTGAAAAATTTGCAAAACCCAAAGAAATGAATGAGAAAGACTCATCGTATACCACAATCATCATTTAATTAACTACTTTTTCTTAATTATTTGTTTATTAAAGAATGAACTAAATTTAAAAGTATGATTAATTCAAATTATGAGGCTGTCCACAAATGTGGTACAAAAATATAGTATGAGTAGCATTACTAGTAAAATATTAATAATATAAGACAATGCAAGTAGAAGACCAAATTTTGCACAATATCTGGGCAATGGACTTCTGAGGTTTTAACACTCACTCCAACATATATTCCCTTTGTTTGTTTTTTTTTTTTTTTTTTTAGACTTTTTATCTTTTAACTTGAGGTAAATAAAATAAATGCATGTTAATAAATATCCCTTGAATTCAACCGTGCTGAATATGCTCCATTAAAAATAAAAAATAAAAACTTTGCTGAATATGCAATCTTGCCCTTCTGTATATTCTCCTATTTTTAATTTTTGAAGGATGTTTAATTGGAGCTTTCTTGTGGCCATATAGTCAATTCTCGGTGGAATAAAAAAAAACACTTTAAAACAATTATTTAATTTGTTTTCTTTTTTATTCTTTATTTTGTTGTGTGCACAAGTCAAATAGTTGCACTATTTGGTCAAAGTAGCGTTCATTTTCATTGCAATTAAGTTTGACTTTTTCTTTTGTATGCTAGAGGTTAGAATGTTGCTTATCATCGAAATTAAATTAATGTGTTTCTTAATATTTTGGCAGATGGTCCAAGATTGCCTCTCATCTCCCTGGAAGAACAGATAATGAGATCAAAAATCATTGGAACACCCACATCAAGAAGAAGTTGAGAAAAATGGGGATTGATCCTCTCACCCACAAACCAATTGCTAATGTCAATGACCAAAGCCAACAATCACAAAGGCAAAAGCAAGAAGGAGAAGAAGAACAATCCTGTGCAGCTAATGACAAATCTGAAATTGACCAAAATGCCCCTACTCAAGCCAAAGAGGAAGATTCCAAAAACACGGGAGGTGATGGATTGGATAAAATGGAGTTCTTGATTGATGGATTCTGCATAGATGAAGTTCCACTAATGGAGTTCTTGATTGATGGTGTTCCTTCTTCTTCATCAAACTCTTCATCTTCTTGTTCAAATTCATCATCCAATTTTCTTGAAGAATTACACCTCCCAGATTTTGAGTGGCCTGATTGTGATTACAGCAACAACAGTAACAATGGCAGCATGCGCTTGTGGGATGAAGACTTCAGCAGCTGGGGTCAAGAATCTTGGGCATATGGGCTCTTGTGAAAAGAAAAAAAAAGAACTAAATTTTTTCCACTTGGATTATATGTTGTAATTTGCTTGTTAATTACTTTCTGAAGAGTAGAAAATAAAGCATGTATGTATAGCATTTTTTACTCTTTTAGGAAGTGAAATGAAATAAATTAAATTTAATACTTTGTGTGTAATGGAAGCATTTAGATTTTTATTTCAATGTGATGTAGGCTGGCCAGTTTCTTCTATCTAATCTTGTTTTCTTATTCTTTGTTCCGAAGGATTCATGAACCTTTTCGAGATCCCGATTGGTTACATTTCATTATCATGTTTTATTTTAGTCATCATGTTAATTATTTAAGTTCTTTTTTCCTTTTGCTGAGATCATATTATATTTAAGTTGCATCGATTCTTTTTATTCTGAGCTTGGTATATTTGAGATTAATCACGTTGATTAGAGTAGTTAGTTCTCCCTCTACTCTTAATTAAGTTTACTCTCCCGCAATTTAGATTAAATAGGGTTTAAAATTGAATATTTCTTAAGATAAGTTTTCTAATGAAAAATAGGATAATCTACACGGGTGCGTTTGTTTGACCTCATTAAATGGGACTGGACTGGACTAGACTATAGTTCCATGTTTGATAGGTGCTGAGACTAAGTTAAGTGGGACTAAAGGGGACTCGTGTGGACTAGAGGCCTCCTTAAAGGTTCTTAGCGAGGCCCTCCCCAAACCATGGGACTTGCTAAGACCGGCTTCTTCCTCCTCCCCGCGAGCCCCTCTGTGAGTTCTGGGCTTCTTAATTTTGGATTTCGATGGGATTTAATTAAGATCTGCAGACTATCCCTAGCAAGCTGCTTCGCTTCGCCATGGTCATCATCCTCTAAAATCTCAAATCTCATATTTCCCACCCCCAACATTAACCACAAAAAATCCCCCATCTCATATTTCCCACCACCAACCATCACCCGCAAAAAATCCCTAATCTCATATTTCCTGCTGCCACCACCGCCATGGACGAGCCATCCGAGAAGCTCCATAACCTCAAGTCACTGAATTCTCTCCTGCTCAAGGAAACCAGGACCGCCAGCAGCAGGTGGAGTCGCTGGTGCAAGGCAAGGTAGATTTGAAGTCCGAGCTGAGTCGGTTCCATCGTGGAGATTAAGCTGCTTGTGAGCGAGTTGAGTGAGTGGAGCAAGGAAAATGTTGGGTTAGAGTTGGAGAAGAGTGTTTGTGGTGTTTTTGTTCTGACCTAGATGTAGCAAATGATGTGAGATAAAGTTTGAGATTGAGAGGCTAATGAGTAGAAAGATGGTGAAATTGTGAAGTTAATGAGGGAAGTGGAGCAGCTTGCTGGTGGACTCGAGATCGAGAAGGGAAGCTGAGAGAGAGATTATGTGAAGAAATTAATAATAAATTAATTTGGACAATAAACTACAATATTATTTTCATTATCCTACTTGTTAATCTGACACTGCACCAAACGCTTCACTAAATTATTCCAGCTTAGTCTAGTTTAAGCTAGTCCAGCTTAGTCACTGAAGCTAATCTAGTATGAGACAATCCGGTGCAACAAATGCTCCCTAAATTCATTTAAACTATGAGAGAGAAGGAATAGGGGTTATGTTTCATGTCACCTCTTTTTCTCACCTTTTTTTTTTTTTTTCATTTCTAGAGGAGTAATATTTATATCTCTCTTTTTTCATTTTTTTTTCCTCTTTTTATACGGGATAAAGTTTATATTCTCTCTATGACTAAGATTTATGTGCTTCGTACCGCTGAAATTTTCTATACATATATAAATAAATAAAAAGATTTAAGATGCAGTAATTAAATAAAAATATTAATAAAACAATCCACCATTGGCACGAAACAAAGACTACAGCTAGTCTCTACCACCTGCCCTAAATCTTAGTTGGGGCCATGTCGTACGTGCACAATTAGTGAGGCACAACATCCTTGTAGTCGTATAGGCCACATTACTAACCCTGTATGTTGCCTAATACGCTGGTCCACACAATCACACCAAACTTCTTTCAAGTTTCTTAATTCCTAGGTTGAAGAGAGTAACAAGCACAAAGAAACCAAACTTATTGCCCATCCCCATACTTGTTTCTCATACTTTTGTTTAAAGGATGTAGAATGTTGTTTCATATTGGAAACTTAACGAATTTTTCATTTGCTTATATGAAGTTAAGCTATTTTTTATATTGTCAAATTATTCTATAGTCAAACATTTCTTCAATTTAAACATGTATATTTCGAATTCTAATTTTTATTAGAAGACGGCTAAGAGATACCACATTTCTGTATTATATTAATGTACAAGCCACATTAATTAATGAATTGATCTAATTGGATATTGACGGTATGTATCACTTGCCACATCAAATATGTAATATGAATGTTGTCCCGTCTCCCTAGCATTAATATTTATTTAAAGAATTAATTCCAACGGCGCAAAGAATGCATTTTTTATTCAACAATATATTTATACTAAAGGGTGTGAACATAAATTGATTTCAAATCCGCCTATGAAATTTGAATGTAAAATTTCTCACTAAGTAAGTACGAAGATTACAAAATCATAATATTAAGTGGCCACATAAAAAAAAAAAAAAACCATTAAACAAACGACAAATTAACATAGTACGCAGAGACCCGGATTAAAAGCATCCACTAATACGGCACCCTCGGCCAAGAACTTCTTCTGTAATACGGCACCCTCGGTCAGAATAGAAAACACTGGTTACTATCTAATCAGTAAATCTGTTTCTTTTGGCCTAGAATTGTTTTTTGGTGAACAATAGTATCATTATTCTAGAACTTCTAGAGTTTCAAACGAATTAGGATTTTGTGTTTTTTAATTGATGTCTCCTTGTGTATAGTTCAGTTCATTATTAATTTATTCATAATATCAATAAAATTTTGAGTAAATTGTAACAATGATCTATCAACTTTAATCAAATTAGAGCAATGGTCATTCAACTAAAAATCAATTACCATTGGTCCCTTAACTTATCAAAATGTGTAGCTATAGTCATTTTCATCAATTTCGTCAAAAGTTTGTCAAAATAAGTTATTTTGGAATGACCATTTATACAATTAGGGTCTCTCAACTCATCAAAGTGTGTAATTATGATCATTTTCGTCAACTACGTCAAAATTTTTGACAAAACAAGTTACGTTAGAATGACCATTCCTACAATTGTGTTAAAATTAAGAGACCATTTCTCCCGTTGAATTAAAGTTGAGGAATCAATGATAATAAATTTTTAGTTGAGGAACCATTGTTCCAATTGAGTTAAAGTTAAATGATCATAATTACAATTTACTCTAAAATTTTAGAGTTTTTATTATTTTCTTGTGAATTTCAGATTAACGATGAGTTTTAGTAAATCTTATTAAATTTGACGTCTTTGTCAATTTGTTCGTTCGTGTTGACTTTTTAGTTGTTTCCTTGAACGTAATTTAGCTTTCAGTCACTAGCTACTTTTTTTTTTATCGTCGAACGGTTACTAGCTACTTTTTATTTTTTATTTTTATACAAGAGTTACTTGCCACTTGAGCACTCAGGAAAAGTATTAGCTATAGCCTATAGGTAAATTGGACTTGAATGAAATGATTTAGCAGCTTTTGTTTCTAATTAAATATAACAAGTTTTATTCTAGCTTTGTAAACTTGATTAGCCAATCTAGCTAGCTGCACATAAATAAGGTTTGAACACAAAGTTTTTACAAGGGTTAGGGGAACTTTAACAAAAAGTTCCCGATATTGTTCAATTTAACGAAAAACCATAATTTTACATTAAGAATAGTGTTCTAAAAATCGCTCTAGGCGTTGGGCGGTGGCCGGCCGGGGGGATTAACTCAAAATCGGGACAGGGACTAGGCAGTCGCCGAGACGGCCTAGACGGGAGATTGAGTGCCCTAGGCGGTCCAGAAATTTCAGTTTTGTTCTGTTTTCAAGAATGCAGATTAGCTACATTCTTGCTCTTATGGGCTTCTGGTTCATGGTTTGGCGATGATGAAAGTATGAAGAAGATGAGAAATAACTTTCTCTCTCTTCCTTTCACACCACGTACACCTTGCATACTTTTCTCATTTAATTTTTTTTCTTCGTTTCCCTCCAATCAAGTTTTGACAGCAAACATCAAGTTGCTTACTTTTTGTAAAAAACCAGGTTGTCAGTCCCTAACATATTGATTTTTCTCATAAAAAATGATGGGGTGTCAGTCCCTACATCCACATATTTCACACCTTTATTTCTCTTTAAATTAAACATAAATTAATATGATCTCTAAAAAATATTTTATAAATTACTATGAACTACCCATATTCATATCAGAATTTTTTCTTTATTATGAACCACCAAATCCACTACGTGGGATTTTTACCTTTATTTTTAAAAAATTAGATATAATCATTCAAAATATCTTAAGTTATATGGCATATATGTTTAATGTGATTTTAAATTTTGGACTTGTTGGATATTCTTTTTGCATTTTATCCATGGATTTCATACAAGTACAATTTTTTGTAAGTGTCAATATGCACCTATTTATAAGATATATAAGAAATTTACGTAAATCCACCTAGACAGCTAGGCACCTGCCTAGACCCCGCCTAGCCACCCGACTAGCGCCTAGCGTTTTTTAGAACCTTGAGTAAAATGTCAATCCTGGTACTATTCACTTTACCCTTTATTTTGTCCTTATCATTTAAACTCAAAGTTTTCAAACCATTTTCATTAGTTTTCCTTAATAATATTTGATGAAGCATACACACTCAAATATGTGTTGAAAAAAATAACAATCACGGTAAAAATGAAGAATCTGAAATGAGAATGAGTAAGCAGTTGAGTAGACTCTTCCACATAAACGAAGGGCGAGAGAGTGACAAAATATACATGTTTTAACTATTCATAGGATTAAGTCCTCTCAAGATCAATTCCATAGAAATAGAAATTCAACGGCCAAAGCTTCTTCCCCGGCATCTCTTCCCCCTTAACTCCTCTTTCTCCCTTGCAACCCCACACCCCATCATTGTTAACGAACCTAATTCAATTGTAGGTCATCTATGCTTTAAGTCTAATTTATTTTTTCGCTATCCCTTACTGTTTTAGCTTGTTATTTGTCATCTCTTTCTTCTTCTTCTTCATCTTTGAGATTTCTCTGTCTATAATTCTTCCATAGTTATGAAAAAGATCTCTACAACTAGAAGACATTGGTTTGCACGACCCCTCTCTTT